ATACCAGAATACTGCTATCAGGACATATGCCACCTCCTCAACATTTTCAAAGTGACTTTGATGAACTTTCCATCTGGACTGCCAGACTTATCAAGTGAAAATACAGTTGTGATAGTTGGAAAATATATTATTTTTTATATTTATTTTTGAAATTCTAATATGCTGAGAATTCTGTATTTTATCTGGCATTTACATTTTTAAACCAACCCATTTAATTCTTATAATTAGCCTGAGATAGTTACTTTTCAAATGAGGTAACTGGAGCACAGAGAAGCAGGGTAACTTGCCCAGGGCCATACAACTAAATGAGAAGCTATACCATGACCAAGCCTGGCTCCCAAGACAGCCCTTGGAATCCCAATGCAAGTAACTTGGCTGGCAGACTGTATTTGGAAGCACCACCCCACCTTGGAAGCTCTCTGACCTTCTGTTGAGGATGCCTGCAGCCCCATGAACAGCAGCCATCTAGGAGAGCTTTGCTGCAAATGGCCTTTAGCTAGAGGAAGGAGAAAATTTCCACAGAAAAGTAGCTTAGTCAAGGCCTTGCAGGCAGTCTAATTCATGGGTGTCAACCTGAGGGCACCAGGCCCTAGGCAATATGAGACTGGGGCGAGGGAGGGTACTTCCACCCTACTCTTTTCCCACACACCCCTCTTGTGCTAACTGGGAAGCATTTCAGAGGATGTCTTCATTCTACTCTGTCTTCCCCTGCCCTAGCGTGAACCTGGCAGTTAATAATAAATGTTTGCTGGAGGAATGGACAGAATAAAGCACAATAATGTATGGATTTTTGCAAAATGACTCTTCGTAGACTCCAAGACTTACTAATCTTTTGCAAATCAATTATAGAAAGAAAGGTTAAGACAATGTAAGCAATAATCGGATGGAGCTGGAAAAAGGAGTGAGGATGTGGGTGGGAGGCTAAGCAAGTGATGAGTCAAAAGGGACAGAAGGTGAGTATGGGGCTTAAGATTTATTCCTTTTCATGTCCTTTGAGAGAAGAGAGTGTAGAGTTCTTCATACATGAGCTTTTTCATGTGTGTCTGCTGAACAACTTCACAGCAACCCTTCTTGGACCTGGGACCACATAGATCGTGGTTTGATGAGGTTTCAGGGAAAATATGGGTGGTTAGTAGGGGCATGCATGTCTCTTCATCTGCTAGGATTAATTATATTTATCAAATTGCTCCCAAATTTTTGTACACTTGTGATTTTGTATTTATATTTTGTTGTTGGATAAATTACTTTAGGAACTAGGTAGTGGGGTGATGTAATAAGTAGGTGACCCTATCCTACTTACCCAGTGGCTGAAAATACTAACTCTAGGAAACGGGTATATAGTATAACACTATCACCGCCGTACACAATTTTTTTTTTGGCAGAAAATAAGATGCAGAAAGTAATGTTTGGCATCTCCTGTCTTTTTAAGTGGGGCTACTCCACTGCACTAGTACATGGTGGGGCTTTGTAAAAGCTGCACCCCAAGGGATGATTATAGCCATATGATAAGAGTATGAAATGATGTTTCAGACAATGCATTACTTCTCATTCGCCAGAGATTCCTACTAGAAATGTAATTTTTAGAGCTCAGACTGTCATAGTTGAAATAAACTCCTCCCAGGGAAGGAAACTCACACATACTGCAAGTTCAGTAGGTGTCTTAGTGGGCAGTCCCATGGTAACAGTCACCCATGAGGTCCTATGGGTACCATTCAAGGTGGCATGAGAGGTATGCTTACTTGAGAACTGTACAAATAAGTAAGTCCTAGAAACCTATTGTATAGCCTGGTGCCAGGAGTTAGCAGTACTGTATTGTTAGCAATACTAAAGAGTGTTCCTGTAAGTAATATATTAATACTATCCTATTATAAAAGAAACAATAAAATAACAGAATAATGAAATAGAAAATACAATAATAATATAATAACATATAGAATAATAAAAAGTTAATCTAATAATGAAATAAAACAATAAAATAAGCAGGCGGAAACTGAGAGGCGAAGGAGAGCGTAATGCTCTAAACTGTATGAGGGTGTTACTGACATAGACTAATCTCTAAACCCCTGAAGTTGTACACATTAAATATGTACAGATTCTTATATGTCAACCATACTTGAATAAAGTGTTTTTTAAAAAGATGGATGGGCAAGCAGAAGAGATTTTAGGTATAAACCTTCCAATGTTCCAGAAAAACAGGATTAAGAATCACATGCCACTGAGTAAGTAGTAACCCAGATTTTTGGGGGGTGTAGCAGAGGGCAATATTGAGGCGGATCAGTGTCAGCTGACTCCATCTAGAGGTTGCACTGCAGCAACATGGGCCCAAGCTTGATCTCTTGATTTTTCAGGAAATGCAGGAAATCCAGGCCTTCATAGGAATTCCTCCACTATGAAATATGGTAGCTAATACAAAAAATGTACAAACACCACTCACAGCAGAAGGGCTCATAGGTTTCTGCTATGTACATATGAACTCAGAGAATTGACTTCGAAAGATGCTAATTCCCTATGTCAAAGTCAAGAACCACATCAGCAAGTACCCCTTCCAGTGAAACCTATGGCAAAGTTTCAGGCCTTCCTGCTCACCAGAGCATCTACACAGTAGCCCTTCCCTCATTCCTCCCTCTTCCCTGACCTCCCCTTTAACTGGCACCTGCCCCTCCATCCTGTCTCCTGCCACTTTGACACACTGACTCAGCAGTTCCTGAATACTGCTCCACCATACATCCTCAGGCCTCACTATCACCCAAGATCCTCCTGCTTTCCTCCTGGCTGAGCCTTTATTACTACTTTATTACTGCTTACCTCCTACTGGGAGAGCCTGATGGACAATGGGTGCAGAGACTGAGCAGAACCATTCACCTTAATATTTGTAGGCCATCTGACAACTATCAAAGTGCATTGATTACTTCATTTATTTATTTGCACAAACTCCTGACACTGAGTAGATCTTTGCTCGTTTTACATTTACGGGAACTGAGGATAGTGCAATGAGAGGACAAAGCAAGTGACCAGCTCGTTATAAGCACATAAAGGTGACATTACCCCCAAAGTATGGATAGTATTTTGGGGAGGATAGTTACTTTTGGGGAAACTCCTTGGGGATCTCTTCCAAGATAAATCCTGGACAAGAGGATGGGTGTCGTGTTCTTGGAGGGTCTGGAGCTCTGGGGTCATGAGGACAGTTCCAGCCACGAACATCATGCTCACTCCCTGTCACTCTGCTTTAGCCAACTGTGGATGCCAATTTATCAGGAGCTCCTCAAAATTCCTATGGGGTAGATAAATGCTTTAAGAACCAGGCCTTTTTTTTTTTTTTATCATCTCAGCCAGTTTGAATCATGGGGGCCAGGGATGGATCTGCTCTCAGAATTTGTGTTCTGCTCAAGCTATCAAGTAATTCCCAAGTCTAGCCTTCAATGTTCCCCATCTCCGAAACCACGAAGGCCAGACCCACTAGAGTAGCAGTCAGGCTTCTTCAGAAGCTGATTCAAATTCTTATGCTAGCTTCAGATTTTGCCTGCACCCCTGGACTCTCTCACATATCTCATAGCTCTTGGTGAAGTTACACTGACAGAGCCCTAATCCCAAGCCAGGCTTTTTGCTAATACTGCTCCCTTCGCCTCAAACCTTTCCCCTAAATTCGTTTGTAAGTTCATATTCATTGCTTAATGCTTGTGGACACCAGGAAGACAAACCTCAGAGAAAGTGGCAATGGTGACAAGCACCTACGATTCCAATGCTAAAGGAGGCTACACCAAAGGGGAAGGTGGTGGACATGCTTGGGGGTGCGGGTGACAGGCCTTTGGCATGGAGAGTAGGGTGTTCATGGAAGACCCTGCCAGCAGACTCTGCCAGGAGGAGGCAGAGGTGAAGGGAGATGATGAAGAGGCGTTTGAGAGAACCCCTGAAAGGCCCTGACAAACCAGAACAATTCTGAGACAGAAATACTGTGAGAGTGGGTGGCAAAAGAGTCAAAGAGGTAATTAACTGGTCCTATTCTGCCCCCTGTTCACTTAGTTGTGGGAAAACACAGGTTGATGTACATCTTTATGGATCTTATTGTATATCCTATGTTGCTTTCACTCCATTCATTCATTGACTCCCAACAAATATTTATTATTCTCTGGTTATGGTTTTACAATTCAATAGCCACCAGCGGCATATAAATACCAGTTTACTGTAACTTCACCACACTAGGAAGTCATAGCTCTTTTACTTTAAATAGTTGTGAAATAATTCCCCCAAAGTTTAATGACTTTTGTTCTAATTTCAGAAATGTATATTTACTTAAATAAAGAACTCTACAAAGCAAAGAAAATTCACTGCATTCCATTACTCATCAAACAAATAACTTTTATCGAAATGTCACAATAAGCCAAATGTAGGACAGTCACGGAATATCAGCAAGATGTGGCTGCCACTGCCTTTCCCCTGGCTTCCATCCTCTCTCCCAGCCAGGCTGAACATAGCCTGGGGACTCCACAACCTTCTTTCCCTGGAATGTTAGTGAGATCTAACTAGAGATGGCTTAGAAGTTCCCCTAAAAGAGGATTACAGGGTCTACTTGGTGGTATAGGGGTTAGGTCTCAGCACTATCACCACAACAGCCTGAGTTTAATCTCAGACAGAAAGCTGACCTACATGTGGTACGGCAGACTCCTGTCTCACCCGCTGCTCCCCTCAGCAGGGTATTTCAGTAGATCTGCCTGCTCTGTTCCCCATTGTCTCTGGTGAATCCTCTCACTACCCCTGCACCTCTGTATGCATAAATAAATAAATCCTCTTTAAAAAAAACAAAAAGAGGATTGTGTACAGCTGCTTGCTAGGGAATGAAAGAGAAACTAAATTCTGTTTTTAAATCCAGATAAACTGCATTTTGTTTCATTCAAGATGGCTCTGAGTATCAGGATATTGGAATAGATGCTCCACTTCCAGCTTCTGGAAGCACCCACCATCCCCAGTCTAATATCACCTTATTTTTTGTTCTATGCCACCAGGGCCCTCTCACAGCAGGAGTATCTTACAACCCACCCACCATCGTCCTGACTGGGGATGCCAGTTCACCAGAAGGAGAAACTGACAAAAACCTGGCCAACCGGTACAACCCATGTGCTTAATACTTCCTATTAAGCATTTAATAGGAAAATACTTCCTAGAAAGGGGGGATTAGACAGCTGTTTTACACATGCATACATACATATACATGTACACAGACACATATAACTCTTTTTCTCTCTTGGATCAATTTATTAATGAAAATGCAGTTAAGCATTTTTTCAAAATGCAAGAACAGGATTTTCCTCTCCCCAACCCACAAGTAATTTTTCCTTTCTTGGATTTTGTTCTTTGCACTCTACACTAAGCTTTAAGAAAAGTACAAATTGGCCCTCCCTAGTGGCGCAACGGGCACTGAGAATCTGAAGCCACTTCCACATGAGTTTGATTCCCGCCTGCCCCGGAGGTGACCACATGGCGTGTCAGACCTCTCCTGACCCGCCCGCTGCTCCCCTCAGCAGTGTACTTCATTGATCTGCCTGTTCTGTTCCCCACTCTGTCTCTGGTGAAGCCTCTCACCGCCCCTGAATCTCTGGCTTGTACCCCAGTTCTGCATGCACAAATAAATAAATCTTAAAAAAAAAAAAAAAAGAATAGTACAAATCACAGAGGGATAGTTTCCTGTACTAACTGCCCAGATATTTGCAAACAGACCTGAAAGATGTGATAGGATCCTGCCTCTGGCCAAAGTGGGTCTAGTGTGGAGGATAATCACATGCATGAGGCTGTCACTGACGGGTTTTCACAAAACAGTCGTCTAGATTGCTCTCAATGGGTTAAGATCATCCATATACAGTTTCCAAAAAGTTAAAAAGAGAATTGTCATACAAATATATATAGTGAGTAGGTACCAAATTCTTATTTAATTCATTAATGAGGGATTTATCAGGATAACAAAATTCGTACAAAGAAGGGTACAAAAACCTGAATATATATGTGTATATGATAGGCATATTATGTATATGTACAGATTATATATGTGAATATATGTGATATGTACATCTCTTTATCTCAAATAAATACCACCTGCTTCTCTAGTATACAATTATTTATATTTGATACAAGTTAATTATTCACTCAGAACCTGGGCTCTAATAAATAGTAAATATTTGTTACCTAGATCATGGTTCAAAAACTTTAACTTGCATCAGAACCAGGTGGGGGGTGGTTCTATTACAGATGGTTGGGCCCAGCCCCAGAATTTCTGATCCAGTAGGTCTAGACTGGGGCCTGAGAATTGCATTTCTAACAAGTCCCCAAGCTAGACAGGCTTGCATGGCAACGCTTTTAGATGACTTTGAAAGAACATACAAATATCTAATTGCCTATTTCAAAGCTGTGGACAAATTTTCTTAACAAGATGGCTATACTGTTTTGCAGATCTCACAGTCCCCACAGGAGGCTTTCTCACCGACACTTGAAAGTTTCTACCACTTCACTGACTTCTGTGGGTAAGGGTTAGGCCAATTTATCTTATTTCTGCAATCAGAGATGGGGTCCAGCTGAAGGTGTGTCTCAGTAGGAAGACAGAGATCTGGCAGCTTGGCCATCCCCTCTCCTGCTTCTCACATTGGTTCATCCCTACAAGCCCAACAGGACAAGGTCAATTAGCCCCTCTAAACTTGAGCTTAGAAGTTTGATCTCTCTCTCTCTCTTTTTTTTTTTTAAAGACAAGACCAGGGTAGGAAGAGGGAGACCAGAATTCACAGACAGAACAGCTCAATTCCAGGGCCGTCTGTCCCCTGATAGAAAGGCTCACATCTAGGTAGCATATGCCTCAATGTAAGGCTGGCTGCCTCAGTCACTGCTGTCTCCTTCTCTAAATGGCCTCTCTGAGCCTGCTCTGGATAAAACATAGAAATAACAAACTCGGTCTCTGCCTTCATGCTGCTTGCAGTCTATGAGGAGACTGAGAAATGACCAGATACAATTAGGACTTGGTGATTGTATCCTCCTGTGAAGGAGAGCCTTCACAGAAGTGTTGGGGAAACTGAGACAGGACAGGGATCAGTTCTCTCTGGGTAAGGAGGAGGTTGAATTGGTATTTCCAAGGAGAGAGTATTTGAGTTGCGCCTTAGAGAACTGGACAGACAGGAGGGAGGAAAGGTATGCATTCTGGATGCAGAAGTAACACAGTGAGAAAGCAGGAACTGTAACAGAGGAAAAGTCTGGGCCTTTTCATGATAGAAACCAACTCAAAATAGCTTAAACCAAATAAATAAATAAATAAAACCCAGGGTTTGTAGTTTCAGATTCAGTGCTAAATCCAGGTGCTGGATTCGTGTGCTTTCTTCCTTCTTGGGCAGGCTCTTCGTATGTGGTAGCAAGTAGCTACCAGCAACACCAGTTATGTCCAGTTGGTAGAAAGAGAATTCCTCTTCTTGCTATCAATGACACAATCCCCAGGATTGCTGCTCATTGGCCTCCTGGCCATCCCTGAGCCCATCACTGTGGTCAGAGGTGAATGAACTCATCATGTGGCCCAGACTGGTACAGGGCCCTATCCCTACAGTAGGGTGAGATAGAGGTAGAACTTGATTCCTGCCTGACCAATATAATTGAGACTCAGCGAGTTTTCAGCCAATGCAACCTGGAAGTTATAACCAGAAGGGGTGGGGAGTGAGCTTAGGGAGGCACATGTGAGATACACATCACCAAGGGCTGGAGGAGAGATACCTCTGCAGGAACATGTAGACTTGACAAAAGGGACTGGGCCCAGTATTCTTTTGAATGTCAACTGAGGACCATGAGGAATCCCGATGAGATGAAGCAGGTCAGAAGGGGTCTTTGAAAGGTCATTTTGGCAGGCCATGGAGGATGGGAGAGAGGGGAGAGCCCAAGGTGGGAAACTTATAAGGTGGCTGTCGTAATTTTGCAGGGAAGAGCTAGTGAGACAATGGAGACAGGCTCCCAAGACATTTCTGAAGTAAATGCAGGACCTAGTGGGTCAGTTAGCTGGACTTGTGGTGACTGAGGAAGAGGGAGAAGTGATTCCCAGGTGTCTAAGAAGGGAGATGGGGGCATAGCATGATGTGCCCAGAGAAGTCACTGGCAAAGGGGCACTTTTGGAGGGATGAGAGTAAACAATGTCAGTGGAGGAAAGAAAGGGGGAAAGGTGGGTGTGGGATTATCTTTGGTCCATGCTCTTTGCAGTGTTCCTTTTACCCATACATCTTAAACTCACTAAACTGTTAAAGAAAAAGAGACCTGAAGGAAGAAAACACTGGGGGCAGGGGAAGCAGACAGTGTACAGGTGGAGCTTTGGATGGCCTTCCCTAACTCCAGAGTTCAGGAAGGTACTGGGAGCCCAAGGCGTGTCATGGCCATCTGTGACGGATGACTTGTCACAACACAGGCTCCAGGGGTGGCCAGGCCTGCTGAGGAAGCCTCTGTCCCCACTCAGCACTCTCTCACCTGCTTCCAGCTGCTGTCTGTCTGGACAAGTCTGCTCTGGGCAGCATCCTGGGCTGAGATGAGGGGTGGCAGGGCTCTCCCCAAACTTACCTTCATCTGCAGACCCTGCGGGGCATGTTATTGACCTGGTAAATGACCAGCTGCCAGACATCAGCATCTCAGAGGAGGACAAGAAGAAAAACCTGGCACTGCTGGAAGAAGCCAAGTCTGTGAGTGAGCGATTCCTGACCCGCCGAGGGAGGAGATCTCGGAGCAGCCCTGGAGACTCCCCATCAGGTAGGACAGACTGGGGCCCACTCTGAACCCTCTCAGGTGGGGAGGGGGCTAGGGAAGACCAAGTCCCAGGTACAGTGGGAACACTGCTTCGCAGGTGTGATGTTTGGATCACCTATCCCCAGGCCTCCTGGCCACAGGAGAATTGGGCCCTGTGGAGAGGATCTTGCAAGGAGCAGGGCATCTTGCCTAATTTAAGAAGTTCTAAACTACAGACCCAACTTTAGCTCAGAAAAATCTTTGTTTTGGGGGGCCTGTGTGTGGCCACTGTAGCTTACTATTTTCCTCCAGAAACCATGAATTTACTTGGGACCTCCCCCTCCCTGAATCCTCCATTGAGAGAGCTGCATGTGATGCCCTTGGGCACTTGTTCCTGCAAAAGCAGAGTCTATGTGACTTTCCCACCTTCCATAGGAGAGCCTGCCTCAGCAAAGGCCTGGACATGCTGGCATTGGAGTTCCTCTCCCCGGGCTCCAATTCTGGGCTCAGGAAGCCTCCTAGGCACTGTGGGGATGGCACTGAAGTGGTCTTTATGGAATTTCTGGATTAGACAAAAGCTTTTTCTTGGTCCTGAAACACTCCTGCTATATCTAGGACTAAACTTACTCTTCTTCCTGAGCAAAAAGTTGGGTCAGGATTTAGGCAAATATGGATATACTCAGGTGGCAAAAAGAAAATTTGCCATCAGGGCCATCTTGGCAAATCTAGGAGGTCCAGCCTTTGCAGCTATACTTGCCAAACTGTGCCAGAGCCTCTGTTTCTGTAAGTGCTGTGAGGTCAGGCCAGGGAGGCTGAGGGATGTGACCCCGGTCCTCACCCCCCCCCCCATATTACTCTAGTGGCCTTCTCTTCAACTGGCAGCAGGAGCTGTGGCAGGAACCCTATAATGCCATCGACTATCAACCCCTGACCCCAACATGGCCTAGTTCCCAGGGATCCAAGACACCAGAAAATACATTTTTGCTAAGTTGAAATCTAAAATCTTCATGAATGGTGACCAATTTCTGTCTTCTTTCTATAGCTGTTTCACCAAACCTCAGCCCCAGAGCTTCTCCTGCTTCCTCTCGGAGCAACTCACTCACCGTCCCCACAGTACCTGGTAAGGTCCAGTCTCCCAAGCATTTCCTACCTTGGTTTCCCCCTTTGGGTGACAGCTCAGCTCCTCACTTGGACTGACAAGGACACTGTCAGTTCCCTTTCCCCCAGCCTGCAAATTCCTCAGCCAGGATCCCTATGTGGCCCACATAGCTGACCCAGCAGCTCTTGGGTCTGACTGGGCTGCCCCAGAGACGGTAGATGTGCTTTCTGTTGGGTGTTTGAGCCAATGAAGTATGGCAGAGCTAACCTATGAGGAGGTGGACTGGAGGCAAGATTGTGGGAAGGTGCTCTCTCTGCCCAGAGAAGACTTAGAGCAGTTACCTCCACTCTTATTTGGAAAGGCCTCTATTTTAGTCACTCACTTTTTGGTTTCCCCCTCTTTTGTTTGGCTATGTACAAGGCCACACCTTCAACAGGGCGAGGGGTAAGGTACCCTTGTCAGAGCTGTGGGGCATGCTCAGGATCAAGGCAGGCAGCCTGGGCTCAAATCCAGGTGCTGTGCGATCTTGATTTTCCTCTGCCTCACTTTCTTCATGTGGTTTCTGTGATAATTAAATGAAAGTTCATTGCAGACCGGCAAATGAAAGGCACTTCACCAATGGTGGCAAGAGAGGACATTCTGGGGGAGGTTGATGTGATTTTGCTAAAGGGACAAATGAGATTCTGGGCTATCACTCATCAGTGTCTGGACCATTCCAGGTTTGGATACATGCAGTGGCTCCCAGGACCCCCTGCCTGGAGCACAACCACAGGTAATGGGACTCCACTTGGGGTTTCTGTGCTAACAAGTCTCTCCTCTTTTAACTCCTTAACATCTGAAATATCTGCACCCCCACCACCACTACCCCTCAATCCACCTGTGACCCACTGGAGGTTAGGGTACTCTGTGCAGGAGGCCTAATCACAGTGAGGGGCCTCCTTGAATAATCTCTTCACATTGCTAACTGACTTGTCTACTTTCTCCAGCAGAAGGGGAATGAGGCTGAAGTCTCCTCACCTCATCTTGGTGAACCTGTAAGTTTGAACTCTACCTGACTTAGCTGATTTGTTTGCGGAAGACCTAGTTTCCCAGGAGCCTAGGCTGGCTCCAGGAAGACTGAGTGTGTGTGTATGAACAGAGGGTTGAGGCTGAAGAAGCCAGCAGGTTCCTCTGCCCTACTGTGACTGTAAGTCTGGGGTGGAGGGGGTGGAGAGTGAGATTCACTGGTGCCCATACCCTTGTACCTCCAGTCAGACTTTCTGTTGGCCAAAGACAGCTGGGCCGAGTAGCAGCCTGGTAAGACTGCCACTCTTGTCAGATCTAGTGAAAATTACAGGAGCCCTAGTCCCTAGTTGGAATCCTTTGTGAGGGCCACCAGGAAAACCTCATCTTTGCTGACAATGAATAGAAGAGCCCACCCCTGTAAAGTGCTCAAAGTGGTGTAAGGCCCATGGAGAACACAGGTCGTCCAGAACTGGGTCTGGGGTAGAGGTCTCTGTTAAGAGTTTCAGCACACACGCTAGACAGCCACACAAATACACCGACATGTTCCTCGTGCAGCAGGTTTCCGTTGGGAATGGAAGAAGAGTGCTTAGCACTTTGAAGCAGTAAGCTATTATCTTTGCGAGAATCATCTCATTCATCAATCCTTTTTAAAAATTATGCTTATTGAGGTAAAGGAGGTTTCCATTGTTTCACTGGGGTAATTGGTTTAAACCTCTCCAAATGTATATTTTCACAACTTGCCCACCACCAATGTTCCAGTAATCCTCCACCATCAATTCTTAATCTCTTGTATCATAGAGTTTTCTGAGAAATGCTTCAAAGCTATAGAATCTCTTCCCAGAAAAATATACACCACACACACACACACACACACACACACACACATACATTTGCATATAACTTCAGAGCATCCACAAACCTAATAGGAAATCTGAGTTCCTATGAATTAAGGGCTTGTCTGGAAGAGCTGACTAGAACATGGGGGGAGGGGCTGAGTTGGAGCCGAAAATTGTGATCTCAAGTTATCCTTTTTATTCCATGGCTATGAAGTTCCTGGTCTTGGGAAGTTCTTCACCAATTTCACATTATAGGTCCCTTCATCCTATATGCTTTTTACAAATCTCCGGCTTGTCTGTGGGTTCTCTTTACTGCTTCAGAAATAACTGAGAAAACCTCCATGCCACCAGTCCCTCTCTGACACATGCACACACAAGTGTGCCCTTTGGCAAGGTCTGTGTTGGCAGAAACCCCACAGTGAAAGTGACCCTATGCATCTACTCCCCAATTGGAGACAGCTTTACATTTTCTCTTTCAGAATGCTCCCAAAGGACTAGCTGACCAAAAGCAGAATGACCAGAGGAAAGTGTCTCAGGGCAGGCTGATTCCTCGCTCTCCCACAATTGAGAAATCCAAAGACATTGCAATAGAACAAAAGGAAAACTTCGATCCCCTCCAGCACACTGGGGCCACACCCAAGGGCCCAGCTTCTGGAGCAGGCAGTGTGGGGAAAATGGCTCTGAACAGCCCCCAGCCTAGTCCTGTTGAGAGTGAGCTGGGCAAGCCACTCCTGAAGACAGCTAGGGAGGGCAACCCTCTCCCCACAGGCCCAGCCCAGGGATCTGCAGGGGTGGCTCCTTCAGCCCTCCAGGGGAAAGGCACAGCTGGAGAGTCAGCAGCAGCCAAAGTTGGCTCCAAAGCTGAGCTTCGGTCCCTTGGGTCCCGGCCCCCACTGCTGCGGGGAGAATCCTGGGACAGTGGCCCCGAAGAAACGAGCCCCCGCTTGCAGAAAGTGCTTGCCAAGCTGCCGCTCGCAGAGGAGGAGAAGCGTTTCTCAGGCAAAGCTAGCAGCAAGCTGGCCAAGGCACCTGGACTCAAAGACTTTCAGATACAAGTGCAGCCTGTGCGGATGCAGAAATTGACCAAGCTCCGAGAGGTGGGTGCCTGGGGCTCAGCTGGGCAGATGCGCACTCCTGGTCCTCCCCAGGTTGATGACCTCTGGGTTGTAGTGGGCTTTGTGGTGGTGGTGGTGGGGGGGGGGCTTAAACTTTCCTACCCTGAGAAACTGGGCCCACTGTGCAACACTTTCTTCATAAATACCAGTTTCAGTTGCTTTGTACACTTCTTGATAGGGAGGGCCAGTCTAGGACATGTCACATAAAGCCACATTTCAAGGGAAAGTTGTGGGTCTGCAGGGACACATGGGCCCCTCAGTTCAAGGCTATTTTCTCCTCTAGCTGGAGCTAGTGGTAAACAAGAAGCCCTTGATGGAGAGCTTTGTCATGCCTAGGACTGAGCTAGGCAGATGGAATAGCTTTCCCCTTTGTAATGTCTCTAAGCTTTCCTTTCTGGCACATGTCAGTAAACCCACAATAGAATGATGGTTATGAGGGGCTATTCCCCCCCACCCTGGTGAATTTCTTCCAACATCCATGATACCCATAACTTTCATCAAACTAGTTTGATGTCCATCAAACTAGGCACAATGGTGTCTCCTATTTTGGGGGTGATTGGAAAGTATCCAGAAATGGAAAAGACTGTGGTGAGAGGGTGAGAAGAGGCTGACAGGACAAAGGACTCCTTCTTCAGTCCCCTCTTCTTCAGAGTAAGGGACATGGCAGCAGGTATTCACAGGATGGGGCCTGGAGCTGGACAGGACTTTGCTGGCTCCTCTACAGAGGGGACATGAGGCAGGGAAGGAACAGGGGCACCTGATAATAGTCAAATACAAAGAGTTTCTGTGCTAGCAGGGATGTAGTCCAAGGCTGGCCACTGTTCTGTTCAAAAACCTTCCATAATACTCTGAGTTAGAGTCCCCAGGGAAGCTGGGGACTGGCTGCTGATGCTAACATTTTGTACAGAAACCCCACCCTGTTAGGAACACCTCACTAGCCAGTGGATCAGCACAGCATCTGGACGGACTGCCTGTGCGGGCTTCAGTTCCAGATTTCTGGGAAGGGTGGGACCGAGGAGGTCAGACAGCCAGACATTTGCCTTCATGGGCCTTTGGGCATCAGAGACAATGCCTAGGCAACATGCCACCCAGCTCCACACCCCTGTAAGTCTTTCTGCAGCTCGAAAGTCACAGAGAACTCAAAGGCCCCACCCCGTAGCTACCAGTCTGGAAGCTAAGCAGCCCACCCCCGCCCTTCTGGGTGCTGAGAGCTCAGTGGTTGGGAGCTCTGGCTTGCTAAGCAAACAGACAAAGGGCCAGTCACTTCTATTTAGGCTAGAGCACCCTCTGCTGGTCCCTTCCTTTCTTCCTTTGGGGGGGGGGAGGGCAGGTGGGGGAGGGGCCATGGGCAAACCATTCCAGTGGCCTCAATCCCAGAGGGGACTGAAAATCCCTTTTACTTTTTTTAAGATTTATTTTTATTTGGTTATGCATACAAGAACTGGGGTGTAACCAGAGTGTGGGGGTGAGAGGATTCACCAGAGACAGATTAGGGAGCAGAACAGATGTATTTACTGAAATACGTTGCTCTGGGGCCCAGTGGACAGACATGAGAGGTCTGCTGCACCATATGAGCTAGCTCCCCTGACGGGATTGAACCCATGCCACAGTGACTGCTTTTAGCTTGAGAGGGCTGAAGCTCAACCCTTTGCACTACCAGAGAGGGTCCTGGAAATCCCTTTCTTATAGCACAGATCACTAAGGGTAAGAAGCTGGATCAGGATTTCCATTTGGAGGCACTAGATTGGTGCTGATTGAATTAGCGAAAATATGGTAAGGCTACCTGTGCCTACCTACGTCCCCTCCTTTCTCCCTGTGCTCAGTCTGCTGAGGCCCCAAGCAGAATAGTGGCTTCTGGGCCTATTGTCTTAGGGCAGCAACTCTCAGGCCTCATTTGCCTGGAGAGTTTAACAACACAAAAGATGCCAGGGCAGGTCACTAAGGGGTTAATGGGAGGGACCTGACTAGGAAGTCCTGGAAGTAGGCACTCAGGTCCAGAATGACAGGGCAGGAAGCTCAGCCCACTCAAACACTGCTGTGAGGCTGTTTCCAGAAGCAGCCCCATAGACACTCAGGGGACCACCTAACCCCAGATCCCTGGGTTCTTCTTCTGCTGTTCTTACCACCCTTGGTAGGCCTTAGCTGAGGCATGGCTGGCACCTCACTTGCCCTGAGCACACCAGGCCAAAACCAGTACTTTGGCATTTGGCACAATAGTTTCAGGTTACGGAGGCACTGTCATGGTGTCCCTCAGATGTTATCATCATTCACCTACCTTTGAGGTGACCCTAGTAACTGAGTGTTTACAGAGCCATTGATAGAAGCGAGAAAAGAATATCATTATCTGAAATACTGTCTTCTTCTTTCCCTAAAAAGGAGCACATCTTGATGAGAAATCAGAATTTAGTGGGACTCAAACTTCCAGAACTTAGTGAAGCAGCAGAGCAGGAAAAAGGTAAGTGGGGTGGGACAGACATGCTCCTTAGGTCAAGACTGAGTTCCTTTCCATCAGATCAAAGAAGTGAACGCATACACTCTGGGCTTCCTGTCAGGGTCTTTGTCTAACCCATGCCTAACCCATGCCATGGCAAGTGTGGGTCTGACACAGAGCAGGCCCTAGGTAAATATTTACAGATGAATGAATGAATCAGATGGCTTTCCTGCCCATCCTGAGCACCTCTCGCCCCTTCCAACCAGCACCCTCCTCCAGACACCACCAGTGCTCTCTGCGCCTTGTTAGCACCTACTGGATCTGGGCTCACCCACGCCTGAACTTTTAACACTTCCTTTCTTCCTCACACTCAGGAAGCCACCACATAGAGTGGTTCCTCTTTCCAAGACCTCAGAGTCATTTCTTGCTTTCTAATTTGCTGTCACCACAAAGTCCAGACCCTAGTCCTTTCCTCAAGTAGCTGTGAGTCCCCACCTAGCCGGCCAGACTCATGAAAATAAAACTTTTGGTCTCCCACCTCCTCCTCGTCCCAATTTCCTAACTTTCCTCTCCTGATGCCTACAGTAGGATTCTCGCCCTCTGAGATCTGGGAGGCAGCTTCTCCCTGTGCCCCCCAGAGCCCTTTCTTGGCCTCATTCTTCATTGTGTGTTGAACCCTGCTGTGAGCCAGAACTATAAGACCTGCTAACAGGCTTCAATCTGGCTTCTTCTCTGTTACTTCATATCTACCACCAACCCCTTTCAGGGTTCTATATTGTCTACATGGTTGAAACAGGATCACGGGCAAGCCTTTGTTACCATTTATAAACAGGAGAAAGACTGGAAGTCCACAGCCAGCCTGCTTGCTTGATTGACTGACTGATAAATAAGCAGGGCAAGGATACTCCCAGTGCACTGGTTAGCAATGGCATGGTTGTAGCCACACCTAGTTGGACATTGGCACTAGTTGGGCTGCCAACCTTATGCCCAGATTGAACTCCATCCACTATCTTCTAGGGCTGCCTTCGCCTCTCTCTCTCAACATTCTGACTTTCCTTCAGCAACTCATTCTTCTCTCTTCTTAAGCTCAGCACATGTTATTCCCTCTAACTGGGATGCTTTTCCTCTCTTGAACTTCTATTCGGTGTTCAAATATACCCTTTCTAGAAAAGGATTTTCCAGCACCTCACGATCCTTCTCCTTTGTACAATCTAGCGCAGACTAAAATGGAATATTTTGATGTTTCTTTGACTAAACTGGCCCCATTGATGACAAGCTCTGAAAGAACAGTGCCACAGCAGCTTTATTCAGTATTGTATCCCTATCTTCAACTCCATTGCCTGTGGCATAGTAATCACTCCAAAAAAACGAATCAGCTCATACTAATCTTCTAGAAGAGGAAGCACAAGTGTGGACAAAGTCACTACAAGACTAGTATTAAGATTTTAAGAACATAAAGTACCTAGGAAGAAGCAACCAAGTCAGTAGGTGTGAGTCAGAGCAGGCTTTCTGGAGCAACAGCTTGGCACTGAGGAATAGAAGGACATCCCAGGCTTAGGGAACATCAGTGGTTGCCATGTTCTGGGAGAAACAGAAGGGATCACAGCAAACCAAAAGTGAACCATGGTTCCAGAGAGATGGGTGTCAAGGGTGGAACATGGGTAAGCATCAAGACATATGAAGGGTTTAAGGGTCAACTAGTGAGTTTGAACTTCATTTAGGGCCCCTAAGAAGCCAAAGTCTGCAAGCAAGGAAGCAAAGTGAATTTAGAAAGAATTTTTCTGTATAGATTAGGGAAACTGACCTGTTGAAACAGGAGAGGGTGGGAACAGTTTCCCAAGAAAATGAGCTTAGCAATATTTACTTCAAAGGGCTGTTGTAAGGAACAAATAAGAAGTACATGTAATGCATAGAGATGTTCAGTGAGTGGTACTTGATCCAGATGGCAGTGTCTAGGGAGGGATATCTGGGTATCTGGATATCTGGGTGTTGAGAGAAGAGTGGGCTGAGCAGAGAAGTGCTGTGAATGGGCAGTCCTTTACGACATCCCCAGACTGGGTTCAGAACATTTGTCTTGGGTAGGAACAGATCTCCCTGAAAAAACAGATGGGAAAAAAGTTTATTCCCAACCAGCAACTAAAATTTTTTGGTCACCCATTGGCTTATAGGACGTTTAACCAGAACCTTTAATCTTTAACATTTATATTTCATTCTTTAATTATAATTTACATAGTTATGTATTCTTAAACTTACATGATCTTAAACTTATAGTCTCTTTATTGCAACACCATTCCCAAGTATATTGAATTGATTTATCTTGTTTGATTAGATTTCTTTTCTTTTTTTCTTTTTTCCTTTGTCAAGGGGAGAGAGGAAGAGAGGGAGGGAGGGCAGGAGGGAGGGAGAGAGGGAGGAAGGGAGAGGGAGAGGGAGAGGGAGAGGGGGAGGGGGAGGGAGAGGGAGAGCTGATTAGATTTCTTTATATAGTTTTTCTAGAAGATCTGAGAGGCCCTTTAATTTCAGCATGCCTGAAATTGTTGTCTTTTTTTTCCTGAAGAACAACTTGGATATTTATTAATTCTAGGTCACTCAGTGTTGTAGAAAAGTCTGACATCAGCTGATTTCTGGCAGCCCTCAACTCTTAACCTCTTCATTTAGAAGGTTTACTCTTTCTGTAAGGTTAGCTGGTTTTCTTAACATTATGTGCTCTTTCAATTTGCAAATTCAGTTTTTCTCTCCATTGGAGGATTTTCCCCCTATTATATTTTGAAGATGTTACTTTTTATTTTATTTTTAACTCCTTCGGAGATATGATCATCCATAGATTTTTCATTAGTGTTTCCACAGCAGATCCATTATGCCCATCTTTAAGTACTTTAATCTTTCTCTCCTTCATATTCTCTGTGATCATTTCAATCTCCCCCACCCAACTCACTAATTCAGTTTGACGCTATTTTGTTTTGTTTCTTCATATTTTCAATATATCGGTTAGGTCTATATTTTACAGTTTCTTATTGAGTTTTGTTGACTGGCCTTCATTTTGTTTCCTTAGATCATAATCTTCAACTTTTATGTGAGTCTCTCATCTCCAATTTCCTATTTTCATTTTTTTGAGGTTCTAATGCCTTCAGTGTCAAAGCATTTATGACACATATTTTGCATAAAAGTACATTGATGTGTTCCTTGCATTTTTTCCAACCTGACATATGTATCCTGCATGTTTACCTTCTTCATTCCTTTATAGCTTCCTTCCATATTTCTTTCCTTTGTCTATAATACTTTTATAAAATTGATCTGCCTTTGGTTTTCATTTTATTTATTTTTAATGTAGACATTTCCACACAAATTTTCTCTTTACCTAGATATGTTGTGTAAATCAGTTTTCCTTTCCACTTAATCTGAGATTAGGTGTCCTTTCTGTAAATAGCCAGTTGAAAATAGAGTCTTTGTGTCTACTCTGTTACTGCTTGGGTGACAAGGTAAAGGGAGGATTCAGATGAAGCTGTGGGTAGTGATATTTGAGAGGGCTGATTTCTCTTTTTCTTTACCTTTGTTCACAGTCCAACACTAGAGTGTGTTACATCAAACTGGGAGCATACTTATTCCTTTGGGTGGGCAGTATTGGGATTATTTCACCAACCTCTGGAGGCAACCTATGCCCACCTTTAGTCTTAAAATTCCCAGAGTATCTTCCCAGGAATAACTGTCACTTCCCCGTCAGGTAAAGGAAAAAGACAGACCAAATCCAAGAAGTTTGGCCAGTCGGTTATTTTTTGAGAAGTGTGTGTGGGAGGGGGTTTGTGGAGACTGCAGTTGGGGCTTTCTATGTGTTCCCTGTCACCTCCACTGGGGGGTTTGTTCTTAATTTATTTTCTCTTTTGTATTCTATTCTGGTAAATCCTTCCAGATTGCTTGAGATAATTAGTTCTGGTAGCATATGGTGCAATCAGCCAGCCTTTCCTCCCCCTTCCTCATCAATAAGCAAAGCAAATAAAAGCACGGACAGTTTTCCTCTTGTTAGAACATGGATCCTTCTAGTCTAAAGAAAGTTTCTAAATCTCCTCTGCAGGCTCTCTGCTCACCCCTCTTTCTAATTTCCTTCCCATTCTGTGGTTCTTTGCCACCATTTTTCTTCTTACATCTTCTTCTCAATTCTGATCATTTAAGATTAAGAGGAAAGGATTACCAAGCTTGGGAGTTCTCCATTTATTCCTAGTACATTCTGTATTTCTCTGGTCAATCTTTACTTTTAAAGATTATTGCCTTTTCTGCATTTGAGAGGTGCTGATATACTCTGGTTGGTTTAAAAAATATTCTTGTTCACTGTTATTTATTGGGTTCAGTTCAGGAGGAAAGGGACTGGTTCTGAGACCACCAGCTAGGCAACTATTTTAGCAAGAGTTGCAGTCCTAGCTATTTACTTTTTTTTATTTTTGGCTCAATCTTGGGGACTTTTCTAGCGGAAAGTCAAGATATGGCTTTTACTTGATTATTAGATCTCATATGGTTCAAACAACCATATAGATTTCTCAGGAGCCTTCCAGTTAATTGTATCTCTGGTGGGTGCAGTAGAAATACATAAAGGTAGAGTGAGGCTGGAGGAACACAGGTTGCTGTCTATCACTTGGAAATGTCAGAGAAACAACAAATGGCAGGACAGAACCCAAGAAGTGGCAGATAACTAGGAGAATATCTAGTCCAGTGTTTATAGCTAAAGAAGGACCACTGGCTACCCAGTTTCTAACAGATGCCCTTCCAGACTTCTCTAGGCTACCTTGCATACCAGGAATATGAATCATATTCATAATTATGGATATGACTATGTTACAGGAAAGCTCAAAATGTTTAAATAGCTGTTACCTTGAGCCAAACTAGACCTATACTTCACTTTGCACAGTTTATCTTGATGACCCAATATTAGCTCCATTTAATGGTTACTACTACTGTGCCTATAATTCTGATCTCTGGCCTGGCCTACAATTCTGGGAAATGATTAAGTTGGAAATCTGCTGGATCAAAACTCA